TTTGAGACAAAACAAATTGAAATGATATTTAAGAAAGGACTGAAAACTTAAACTGCATACTGCATATTTCTCGCGGTCGCGTGGGAAATTGTCAAGGCCTTCTGGACAAATAAATCCCTTGTTCCTTAAATGTTATTTGTTGAGCTTTATTTTGGTTGGCTTCATCATTGAGATAACATTAATGTCTTTACCGTATGTTAAGAACACCAAAACCAGCTGATGAAGTTACCTAAGCAAATTAACGCACAGGATCTTCGCAGAGAAAATTGTGACATTTGTCAGATCATATTCCATGAGNAATTATAAACAAATATGATAATAATAATAATCATAGTCATTATAGATTTGAACTCGGAGAATATGAAATGTTTACATCTAAATTGAGATTTGTCATTAAATAATTTTATTTGAGACAAAACAAATTGAAATGATATTTAAGAAAGGACTGAAAACTTAAACTGCATACTGCATATTTCTCGCGGTCGCGTGGGAAATTGTCAAGGCCTTCTGGACAAATAAATCCCTTGTTCCTTAAATGTTATTTGTTGAGCTTTATTTTGGTTGGCTTCATCATTGAGATAACATTAATGTCTTTACCGTATGTTAAGAACACCAAAACCAGCTGATGAAGTTACCTAAGCAAATTAACGCACAGGATCTTCGCAGAGAAAATTGTGACATTTGTCAGATCATATTCCATGAGTATTTATTTTATTCGATTAATAATTATAGAAGAAACGTTGATACAAAGGTTCCACATAGAAGTCATGACTCGTATGTTCGTCAATTGATGTTTGAAACAAAAAAGTAGAAAAAAAAAAGAAAATTCATTGCCTCACAAATAGATAAGTGACATGCATTTGAAAAATTTAAGAGAACAAAATACATATTGCATATTTACCCAAACCCAGTATGGAGGTGCAAATGAGGTCACAGGCGTGTTCTTAAAAATATTTAGTGCACAGCTTGCTATGTTTGATTATTTTAGGGTCCAACGTGAAGAAGTTTGTATCAAAGTTTCAATCTCTTGGAACCGTGAATAATAAAAAAATAATTCATCGTCTAGTCCCAAAAAAGGAACATACGTCACTGCAGCACGTCCCGCCGTGAAACGTTTTACTCACTTTGAAAATTCAATTATCATTGGTTTTGTTCTTTTGTTTATCTCCTACAATTTTAACGTAATAAAAAATTATGCTAATCTTCTGTATAGAGCAGTTAATTGTTTTTGAGCGACTTTAATTTGCTTGTCGCTGAATATTAAAAAACGGGGAAAATACACCTTACCGACAGTAAAGTACGTATTAAAGAAACTATTTTTCCACCTATGATCCAAATGTTATATCAGAAATGTCAAATTTTCATGGAAACATAATATATTTTTCGGGCAGCAACAGAAACCACTGTTTTCTATTTCACCAAGTACTTGGGCAAGTAGATGAAACTTTCTGACAATTTTTCTGGGGAGCGTAACGTAGCAATAGCCATGACGCAAAGCCCCTTGAGTTAAAGTTTAAATATTTATAAAAACATATACGTTATGTATAATTTACCATGACTGAATCATTACACAATATATTTGAACGCGGTATTAAAATTAAATGATCCGGAAGGCTAATTTACCGGAACTTACGCTACCATGGTAAAAATGAAAAATTAAATTAAAATTGAGACTGTCGTGGATTTTTTGTTTCATACACATATATGTTTTAAAAAATAAAATACCACTTTGAATTCATTCAATTTAATTTTTGGACACTTCAGCATGTGAAATGCACCTCTATCTGGGTTTTTGGGGTTATTATATCTTTCCTAAGCGACAGATGTATATCCTTGGATAACTTTAGGCAGTTGAAAAATATTGTCTTTATCCTGGTGTGTTCGTTCCGATAATATTCAAGAGTTGAGAAATGAAACTTTTTAAAAGGGAACAGATGTCAGACATATTCTTTTGATTTTGTAAGGAATCTGTCATTGCACAATTTTAACATATGACAAAGCAAACTGTATGAACAATTCGTCTCCAAAACAAAATTTTAATTAAAAAAATAACATATAATATAAAGATATATAACATAACGAAGTAAAAATTTAAAAAAGAATGTAAGGTCGAAAATAAATCCAAACCAAATATGCATTTGAATACCAGTCAAACTAATTTAAACGTGTCTGTCAATAACAATAATAGAGGAATGTAAAATTATACTGATCTTTATATTCAACATATCAGAAGGTTGGCTGCATTTGAAGGCATGTAGCACTCTTCTTCACGTTAATAAATTCAGACGATAAATAGTATACAATATATTTTCATATACATTTTCTCAAATTACTGAAAGAAGGCGCGAACTTTTCTTCATACCTTAGCACTACTTAATATATTCTCATTTTCTGCCTATATGCGTTTTTCTTCAGACGTGTATCGCTTCTAGGACGATTGACAGACAAGGCCGTCCGTTCTGGGATTAGCCAAATCTCGTCAAAATTCAACCAAGCGTCACCGGCGGCACGCGTGAAAATTGCAATTTATCTGGCGCGTGTCTGATTCACTGGAGCCTGATATTGGCTCGCGCTCCCTATTAATACGTAATTTATGATAATAGCCTAGGGGATAGCAATCATAACTTGGTTCCATTTTGTTCCTAAACAGAAAAGTTTGTAACCAATAGCCCGATGAAGAAAGCCCTCTTTTGTTATTGTTGTGTTAAAAGCGAGAAGTCACGCGACGAATGGCCATTGGAGACAATTAGTTTCCAGTATCGCATTGATTAATAGCTTTAGGACTTCATCAAAATGTCCAGAAACGGCCGGGTCATTTAAAAGCGTTTTAAGACTTGATTTACGGACTAACATGACTCTATGTTTTCTCAATTATTCAAAATTGTGAGGTATATTTGAAAATAATTACGGATCTATCCGATATCATTGTTAGGTAGGTATAGTATATTCAGTTCAGATGTAGAGCCGGGCAATAAATGAAGTAATTTATTGTTTTATGGTTGCAGCCGAGAAGTTTCACAACAGATGTTCATAAGACGTCGTTACTTGTATGGGAGGCGACCTCTCGTCTCCCGAGACAAATATCGCGAGACTTTAAGAGCATCTACTGGACGCCAGACAAGTGTTAATTTCAAACTAAGCACAGCTTTCTTTGCAACGGCGAAGATATCGCTAAGCAGATGTGCTTCGATGCTCGGTTTTGAAACGATTTTCATTTAGATTCGGAAATCATACGTTTCTCATTCTTTCTTTGCTATATCGGTTGCATTATTAGTCAAAAAATCTCAATATCTTTATCATAGTATTGACGCAACCACTTCACAGGTCGTTGAAGGCCATAAATTAGACTCGAAAATCTCCGTTGGGAAGCTTAGGCAATTTTATTACTTCATATCATATTTCTGTTATCTGGGGCTAGTCTGGAGAATGCTTGTCATGAAAATTGTTGCCATGTTTCAAATGTTCTGAGGATTAATTAGAGGGTAGATTAAGTCATTAATTTCTCTGTTTACCAATCCACTTGAAATAAACAATTAATAGGTGGTTGATAGGCCGAGATGAAACGCAAAACGGCTCACTGCCGCCGCTTTGAAATCTACACACTTACTATGAAATGAACATACTTGATCAGTGTGCTTTGTGACTCGTATACTAAGCCGGATATGAGAAAATGAGAAATTGACTTCGCCATTAATTGCTCTAAAACTCCAGACTGTAGATGTACTAAAATTACTTCATGAATTTTTATAATTTTGTGTCAGAACATCTGTGTTATCTTTTCCAAGATCATTTTCTGCGACTCTCATCATTAGTGTTTCTTTAAAATGATTTTTGCTAAATTATATCATGGACAAAATTCGTTATTATGTCCAAGATTTCATATTGTTTTAAAATTCTTTTTAATCTTACTTTTGTACGGTTCACGTTTTGTAGATTAACAAATACTGGCCATAAAAAATACTAATAATAATAAAACAAAAAACATAAATCAATGAGCACTTTCTTGACATTTTGAAGAAGCTACATGAAGGATCCATAATAATGGATCCACGGTAAGAAAAAAAATTGTTTCATTGAATCAGAAACTTATTAGTCACAGTAGCGTTTCCGTGTTTACCAGAGTGAGGGGGCTTCTTTTGGATATTCGTACTTTCAGTAAAGATTTATAATGCTATGTGGGAGTTAAGTTCAACATTACCTGTGTTTTTAGTGTGAAGAAGTGAAGTAGTAAATATAAAGGACAATTGTTTGAACGTGCAAACAGGCCAAAATAAAGCACAGGATACATGTACAACGCGTTTTTCCCCGTTTTCCCATTCGCTTTAGTTAAACAGGAAAAAGTTATTACAAGACAAAAATATTTTATATTTTGTCTTAATACACTGTACACCTGAAACGTGAATCACAAACGAATGACAGTCAGACCTTTGCCACTTATTGACATGTAACTTGCTAGTTATGATTTTATTTATATGTATTCTGTAGGAATAAAATAGTGAGACATAAATATCAATCAACTAAATTAACAAATACTTATCGAACATATATTCCAAAATTAGTAACCAGTGAAAATGTATCAACACCATCAACAAAACGGTTTACGCTCGCCCAATGCTGTAATATTTTTGTTAAAATAAATACCAGTTCTGGACATGCATTAAAAGAGTTATTTATTCCTTAAAATCTCCAGAATCAAACAGAAAAAAAATAACGTTGTTAGGTAGTGCTCAAATCAAAGCGTAGCGTCCAATGATTTCACAAAAGCCTTTGATAAATTAAAGCGTACTATTATTTATGTTGGAATGTGTGCAAACAATAAACGCGGGCGTTAGAAAAAGGGGTTCCTTATCAGAGTCAGACTTGGAAATCGCTTCACATACACCTTAGCGATGTGATGAAAGTAAAGGTACAAGTTCCTATGGGCCGGTCGAGCCCGTCGCGTCTGACTTTACAGGTGAAAAGGACCGACAAACCGGACACCGGTCCCAAAACATGTGTTTTCTCGGCTGTGATTCAATGGGGAATAATTTAAGCGTCTGTGTGTTAATTACATCATGTTAAGTGTTCCTACTCCGAACAAAAGCCGGAGCTGTTGAAATCAGCGCACAACTGCGCCCTGCGGCTGCTTATCTCGGGGGTGTAGGCGAGATCACAGAAGCCGCCCTTGGACTGGCGCACGCCAGCAACGGATCGGAGGATACACGCTTAGGAGAGAGAAAAGAAGAGGGAGGGGGTCCGAGGTGAGACCGAGATCACGTGATCTCGAGTGTCGGAGAGATGACGTAAAAGGACAAAACTACAGAGAAGAAGTTAGTCGATGTGTGGAATACGACGGAGATAGATCAGGACTAGGAAACGATTCACCAGTAATACGTAGCGAGAAAATAAGTTGATTTCTCCATACTGTCTTCGGCGGACTGTACCTTGACGTGTGCCGTCCTTGGCAAGTTGGCTTGACATAGAAGAATTTTACGGAGTTTTTACGAGTTGTTAACATAGGTGGGAATTTATTGACACTGCTCTTACATGTTAGCATTCACGTCCTGAAGAACCGTGCTATCAGCTCTTGGTCGAGTTTTATTACCCTTACCGGGATCAAGCACACTTCAAGCAAAGCGACCCGATCTGCTGCAGTTTTGTTGATTGCCCAAGAAGGTTGACCCAACCGACGCCGGTGACTTTTTCCTCAATCTTAACCATTGCGTTTTTACAATGGTTCTAAAGTACGAACTAGATGAGACAGACTTTGATGTCATGTTCACCAACCGTCCACACCATCAGGTGCCCGCGGGGGCTTACTATGCGGGGTATAACCCCCAGGGTGCCACAGCCGCCGCTGACTTCGGCCAATACCAGATCCACGCAGGAGGAGAGGGGAACCCCCTGGGGATGCAGCCTAACCCCGCGGGTTCCCCGTCACAAGGATGGAGCGGGATGTACCCTACCAACGCCCCAGGATATGGCAGACCCGTCGGTTCCCATTATAACGAGTTTCCTGGTTACCCATCCGCCGCTGCCGCCCAGCAAATGAGCACCCAGGGCCACATGGGCGCCTACTACACCTCGCCGCCACCGCCGCACATGGGGTACGAGCCTTACTGTCATTCTGGCTCAGTTAACGTCAACGTTCCGCCTGTGGTCAGCGCGGGTGACCATCACTCCACAGTGTCCAGTTACCACGACGGCAATATTGCGTCCCCAGTTCCTGCGAACGCTGTGGTGTCCAGTACGGGGACCATAGACATCTCCCGCCAACAGAGACAGCCGTATGAATGGATGAAGAAACAAGCGCTCCCCGCCACTCCCCCAACTGGTGAGATTTACTGCATTTTCACAGCATTTCTTTTTTTTTTCTTGCTTAATCTAAACTTTAATTCCATTGGTTTGAATGCCATACAAAATTACTTGAATTTGTAAAGAATGCAGGTTGAAAATTTTTTCATCAGCCATTTTGGACATGTCGGCTGCTAAATAAGTACACATAAACCCAAACGAAATATGTTGTTTATAATGTATTTTCATAAAAAATGAAAGAAGCGTTCATTACCTAAAATCCTAAATTATCTATTAGTCTTTCTCTTCCTCAAAAAGTGAAGCAAACAAAAAACTACCTGGAAAATTTGGTTCCACATCCGATGTCCTTTGTGCTTTTTCAAGGACTCGCTGTAATTTTAATAGTATGGATTCTCTCATGTGATGTTCCTTTTTTCACAATATTGACAAATGTTGTTAGCGAATATTACATTTCCTGCATGATAGGTTGTCTCCATTTCTAAAAGTAAAAGAACGTGGATTCAACGCCATAGTTATCCTGTGCGTAATATCATGTCACTAAAATCATCCAGTCGCGACATATTATGATATGTCTACATTCGTCGCTATAATCCTATAACATCCAGTGTTGAGTAAAATCAACTGTTTTAAAAATCTGAAAAATAATTCCTCATATGCGGCCGGCATTTATGTGAAATCCAAACCTAAGTTTCCTCTCCCGCAGTTTGTATCCGAATGATCACAGATAGTATCAGGAACACATATAAACTCCGTGGCTTAATATTTATTAGGCGCAATTTGGATGCAATAGATGTTATAAAATAGGTATAGGAAAAATGACAAGATATTATTACAGAAATAAGATACATGACCCTTTTATTTGGGTCTTTTATATTTCTTATATTGCCATTGTTAAATCATTAGGCCATAAATTTGATTTCACCTGCCTTACGCAGTTGCAATTCAAAATAATTTATATTTGGTTCCCGATATTTATAGGTGTTGAGGTAATGACAACTTTATTAACACTTTACAGCATAAAACATAACGGACGTCTTTTTTTACTGATTTTAAAAGGTATTCCAATGATTTAAATGTCTTTCATTCATTCATGCATACAGTCAAAATGTTAAAGGTAAAAATTTGCGTTTTTGAATTGGCCCTAAAATCACCAAGGAAATCTGAATTTAAACCTATGAAAAATTATCCTTTAAACATTCAATTGTTTTAATTTAGGACTGAAGCCATTAATGTTTCCCACGGAGCTCCCCTACCCCCTAACCGCTCCAACTTAATATTATGTTCATCTTTAATACAAATAAAACTTTAACTCTTTAACATTTCCCACGCAAATCAATCTTAGTATAACTGGTTTCGTGCAGATTTAGACGAATTTTTGTCACTTAAAACTTAAGCGCTTCGGACTTTCTAATTTAAAGCAAGTGTCATTTCCCACGCGTCGCCTTATGAAAATATTTTTAACTCAGTTAAAAGGATTTAAAAGTAGTTGGCTTCACCCGCTACATAAACACAAATACGTATGCAAACGATATATTCAAATATTATTGGATTTATATAACCAAACTGAATCCTAATGCCGATGATTTCCCACGAAAGTAAGAGAAATTCAACGTCCTGATTTAAACGGATTACAATTTGGCTTCTGATCACCCAGTGAAAGTCAGTTTTGACATAAGTCGTTTACGCTTCGGAAGTGTGTAACAGAATTAACGATTTGCCTTTCGCGTAAAACGTGATTTAGACGACCTCTCATGCAAGTAACTTGTTATATCTGTGATTTATCCATTTCTTTTGATGAGGTTTTCGGGCTGACATAACAGCCCTGATTAATTACGTTAAAATGTTTCTATACACAGTAATCAGGTCACGACTGGACTGTAGAGATTAATATATTAAATGTCGAATACGCTTACCATACCAAAAATGCAAAAAAGCGCCAGTTTGGTTGGTAGAAGAATTTAATAATAAAAATAATTATTATTATAATTATAGTGATGCTGATAACTTAAGCGAAAAAATTAAGAATGATGATGAAGATGATAACTTAAGTGAACATTTCATATTTCCAACACTATAGCGGGGTAAAGTTCACAGTGAAAGGAGTTGGCTATAGTATTTGCGAATGCTTACAATATATTAATATAATTGCGCTCTGAGATATATTGTAAGGTGTGATATTATTCCATTACATCGCAAGCTGCGATTTGCATCATAAAAAATTCCAATATGACAAATTTCAGAAAATATCTGCGAAGAGATCAACAAATATTGTAGCTAAATCAGATTGATTCTAATTCGTATGATTAAAATATCGAAGGCACTCGTTTACATTTGATGTGACAGAACATGTGGGAAATTTACAAAATTGAATGATGAAACTGAAGAGCACTGCGCGTGCCTGTTTTCCCTCTGAGATGTTAGTATCGAAAATTAATGAGCTCTACCCCTTCATGTGTTCAGACCCGCGCCATTGATGTATTAGTGTAATCTCATTATAACACGTCTTCATGTTGTGGGTTGTTATTTTTGTTGTCTCACGAGGATCTAGCCAAATAATTAGAGTTCCTTCGATGCTAAATCTTACACCAAGATTTACTGTAAGTTGGTGTTTGACAACTTAGCGTTAAATGAATCCCCTGCATCGACGTAGCTGCGGGCATGCGGGCAGATTTGTAGTTAAACGAGAATTAAAAAAATACTGATGTTCTTTCGTTTAGGGGTGTAAAATGTTTAAATGACTTACAAAAAATTGCAACAACTTAAGGGATTATATCTAGTTATTAGTGTATACAAATCAACTGTATAACAAAACACTCAATGATATAATGATACAGTTCTTTCATTTGCTAATGTTAAATTTAAAGAAGGATATCTGAAGGGCCTTCCTGCCCCGCCACACTAAGGTGCGTGTACTGAGCGATTGTTACTGATACTGTCATTGTTTTTAAATATATTAAGGTTTGTAAACATGGGTATCAGCTCAAAAAGTTTTTTAAAGACACCCCGTCTCCTTTTTACTTAGTATGCATTATTGTCTTGCATGTAATGAGAGACAACTTGAACAATAAGATGATAATTATCAAATGGCAAATCCGTCTCAATGATCTGAAAGACCGCCGTTTTTGTATCTGATCTCCGCTTTAAAATTTTGGACTGGAAAGAACCGGCGGCTTGACATGAAAGGCACGGTAGTAATTATAATCACGGGTGCGCTCGCTTTATTAAGTAGTGCTCAGGTTAATTGCGCGTAAAATTAGCCCGCCAATCCCCGCTGGGTGCGTCTGACTTGATGTCTGACTCGTGCTCGTGTTTGTAGTTTTACCGTCTCAAAGGGAAATCTAGCCCCCATACAGCATGTCTTCATAATATATCCTTTGTTTAACCTTAAAATTAATCCTTTTATATTTTTAAATTATAATACTGCGAGGAGCTTGCGTGACAAAACTTTTAAAGGGATAATAACTCTTCGTATGAGGTCTATATTTCACAATAAAAACATTGTGAATAACTCATAGAAATATATTCTTTTTTACCACAAAAACGGCAGTTATAGCTATTATTCTGATATCTGAGCTTGTCTTTAGACCACGTGACCTCCATTGATGGCTGTACTCTGTTAAAATCTCTTAAGAGATTAATCTCTTAAGAGATTTTAACAAAAAAAAAAAAAAAAAAAAACAAACTTTTGAGAAAAAAAAAACAGGGACTTACATGTACTTTGAATGTAAAAATGGATTCATTAACCATTGGTTAGTATGGGAAAATTGTTGTTTACTCCAGGAAAATTATCTTTTTGGCCGAAACGAAGAGTTATTATCCCTTTAAACATCCCAGATTTTCAAATTCATTTTTGTGGATCATATACTATATAAATGCATATGCATATATATATATATAGGTATATACTTGTGCGTTGTTGAGAAGTCAATAGATAATTCTGTAAGTTATCACAGCGTGGCTTTTCTCTGAATAATTCTCTCCGCAAGTTACACGTCAAACTGATTTGCAAGATTTTTTTGTTATGAATATATTTCAATATAATGCTGGGATAAAATGATGACAATCATAAGATGGCATTTCTTTCACTTATATTGGTCTTTGCTCACATAAAGAACATCGCGGAGCAGACCTGTTTAATATGTCTTATTATAATGCACCATGCTAAAATTATTATAAAAGAGAAGTGCGCAGTAACTATTAGGTGCAGATCTAGAGAGACACTAAAAGTACGAATTATTCTGTACGAGGTCGAGTGGTTATAGAGCATTATTTATGCAATTTTAACTTTAAAATGAATTGTAAAAGTGTCATGGAAAATACGTATAAATGCTTTCGTTTAATAAATCAAATCTTAATTTACGTTTAACGTCCCTATACAAATTATACGAATATTCGACGGAGTCAGCATTTTAAAGTTAATGATGACTGCAAAACTATTTTCAGATTAAAGTCAGTTGGTTTTATGTTCCCGTAAACACGACTTTGACGTGCTAAAATTATTCGACTGTTTAAAACTTTTTTTGAAAAGTAAAATCCTATAGGGAGCATATTTTGATATATGTTTTTACTACTTCGTTTTCAGGAAAAACAAGAACAAAGGACAAATACAGGGTAGTTTACAGCGATCATCAGAGGTTGGAACTAGAAAAAGAATTCCACTACAGCAAATACATCACCATTAGGCGAAAATCAGAGTTAGCGTCCAACCTAGCCTTATCTGAACGACAGGTCAAGATATGGTTCCAAAACAGACGCGCCAAGGAGAGAAAAATCAACAAAAAGAAACAGATGGAGTTAGGAGGACAGACGACAAACAGCTTCCATTTGGCGCAGACGACAATGACGACACTTTCGGGACTGGAATCCTCGGACAAAATGGATGACGTCACACTACAGGGCAGTCCCGCACTTCAGAACAGCCCCAGTGCACTCAGTAACAGCAGTGGAAGTTTACATCCAAGTGACTTTCAGCAAATGGTCAATAAAGTTGAGGCATCACAGGGAAATATGGATTTACAAGGTCAAGGACAAAATCCGAACCAGAGGCATAGTCCAGTTCATAGTCACTGCTAAAACTGACATTGTTTAGCACCCGGCACATACAAAATCGTATATAAAAGTCTAAAACGCAAAGAGGCAGCCTGGTCTCTTTAAGATTTTTGCATATTATAAAAATAAATCGAGAAAAGTGCAATCATTGTGAAACTCTTGCCATTGGGAACTTAATCGGAGACAAGGTGAAATAAAGTGAACTGTTTTGACTTTTTATTATGGATTTTTATCACATCTTTTTGACTCTGTGTCATTGTGTGTGTGAGTGTTAATTTTTCACTAACACAAATTTGCGTGAAACATGTATCGTGCAGTATTTGAGGACCGAAAAAGTATAAACAGAAGGGAACCTTATTTTGTATTCTTGGAAACTGTCTTATCGTTTCTTTAACGGAAATGTCCTATTTTACACATCAATATCACCCATGATGATTTTTTAAAACTTGGCGCTATTTGTTGTTGAAATGCTGGTCATTATATGCCCTTTTTGTATGAAAGTGAAATTATAATTACTACACGTATCAGCTGTTACCTTGAAGCTACAGAAGACTCAGGGAATATTTGCTCATGTTTGGCATAATACATTGCATGATTTCACATCTGTTTAAGCTTAAGGTCACGTTGAAGGTTTTTCCCTTGCAGCGCATCAAGTCCGCTATCATCAGCTGAGGAAAAGGTCATTAATTTCAACGAATGATCACCTATAACTTATATATTTGTGCAAGGCTAGGTATTGATAAAAGAAGAAAAGCACTATTGTTTCATTTATGGTTCGTTTATGCTTAATTCTTTTTTAAAAAATTTAGAAAAAACTTGTAGGTAGTACTTGCACTAAAAAGTGTGAAGGTGTAAGGAGAAAGTGTGAAAAGGGAAAAAGATTTTCATTACCACCTTGTGCAGTGTTGTACGATGTATAGTAGTATAAAATGTACTGGCATTTCTTTTCATACTTAGGATATTTAAATATACTCTCCATTTGATTTATGAATAGAATATCTTGCCACTTCACGAAAATTGCCAATAACCCTCCTTTGTTCAACTGGTAGGCTACATATTATCAGATACTGTATTTATTCAGTAATGGGCATAGACCCAAGGCGAAAAGTGCACTTTTTATTTCACTTGAAACAAGCAATGTATTAAGCTTTTATTTAAATTATGTTGTAGACATGTCTAAATACACATTAAATTGATTTAGTAAAGAAATTGTGTTTTTTATCTGTACTTCAAAGAAATTTTTGTCACATATCGAATCATACCGTTGTAAAATTTAATGAATTTATCAAATGATAGATAAAGTAAAATGTAAGGAAATGAATAATCGGAAAAAAATTAAAAATGAACGAACGAATAAATAGCTAACAAATAAATGAAAGAATAAACAGATACCGAGTAGATAAATGAATAAATAAAAAAAATGTTTATTCAAAAATGAAATGAGAATAAAAAGAAAACAAATGATAGACAAAATATGGATGAATACTTTTCTCAATAGAAAAACCTATCAAAAGTAACAATGGTCAACTACAGATTAGGAGAGTTGCTCGCATCAGAATGGAATAAATAATATTTCGTACAGCGCACATAATTTGGGTATCAAAAAAAATTTTTCAATATATTTTTGTCTATTCTAAAACAAAATTTAGTGTTACTGATTCATAAGTCTCTAGAGATGAAATCGATAAAAGAAATTAGCAAGATTGTTCAAGACAGCTCTTGTGGGCTCTTCACGGTGAGATATTCTGTTAAAATGGACAATGTGAATAATGAGATTTGGATCTGTGTATTCCATGTTTTCGTATTATTTCATAAGGTTAAATTCAAAAGCCGGGAAAATTTTATTTTTTTACCGTGCTACCCATCTCAATTTCTTAATTTCTCAAATTTACCAATGAAATTGTGTTAGGTGAGACGCGCCATGTCCAATAGCCTTTTGTCACAGCCAAAGCGATCAAATTATATGTTAAAAATCGATAACCTATTTGAAATCTCGGTGACGAATATTCATTCACAAAAGAAGTTTCATGTATTTTTTTGTTTGATTTTTTCCCTGCTTTTTTGATACTTCTCATTTTTTGAGGGGGTTGGGGGTGTATCTTCTTTTCATCCAAATAATATCTGGCCACCGAACGGGGGTGTTTTTCTCACTCTTTTTACTATTGCTTTCCGAAAACATCATTTATGCTATGGCAAGGAATCAGAAATTAATCAAAAAGAAAAAAATAATAATCGGGCAATAGCAGAAGACTACCTCATGTGCGGATATTAACCACTTTCAATTTCTCATAATATATCAGAGGACCGAGCTATATGTAACATATTTTTTATTTCAAATGGTGTTCTTATACGATAGCTCAGTCATATTCTTTAGTTTTCTACTTTATTGCATTGCCATAGATATAAAGTATTAAAAGCTGGGAGTTTTTTTTCTTTGCTAACACACTTAAATGGGATTGGCGATGGTGATGGCTGTATGTTATGTTTATAATTAATTGTAAATAGTTTATATAAGGACTTACATAGTCATAACTGTGGATATTGAAGAAAAGGGCGTATTATAATGCTAACTTGAATACAACACACGCCATGCATTATTCTATAGATCATATACTGTGTATATTGTTTACATTCTTAAATATGATTTACGACCATGTAAAACTGCACCTTTGAACAGTATATTTATCTTTGCTTTTCAGTGGGCGACTCAGTTTTTTTTTCATAATACTGATTTTTTAATATGTATTCTGAGAGCGTCGACCCTGAAGCCTTATTTGGTATCTTGTTTGTTGCCCATAATTGTATTTCTCGTGTGGTCGGATGTGGTGTGGCACGATTACACACACACACACACACACACGCACACACACACACACACACACACAGAGAGAGAGAGAGAGAGAGAGAGAGAGAGAGACTGGATCAAATAATCTTAAACACGGCAACTTCATCTGATTCTCAGTTCTATAGCCCGAAAGTACTTTCTATCATTGAAAAAGAAAATAAATAAATAAATGAATAAAAGAAAATCACTCGAATATATTGAAAGGGGAGAATGGTGGGATCTTTGTCGCTATAATTTATTGTTGGAGTTCACAAACAAATACCCTCTGACTGTCCACAATTATAAAAAGTGTGGGTAATAGAAATTTGTTTTGATCGTGCACAGTGTAGCATCATTCAACAAGTCTGTCATATATGCTATAACTTCAAGACGTTTCTCGAAATGTGTTTTTTCCATGGTTGTGTTTTTGTACCAGCAGCAATATGCTTCTTGTACTGATTTTGGGACTAAAGCAAAACTAATTTTCTCTCTTAAAAAAATTAACCGATTGTCTAATAGGCGTTAGAATTTCTCGTGGAAAACGTGCTAAAAATTTGCTTGGAACAAAGATGCCACTTAAATGATCTATCCTGTTTTCGTTAATAAGATAAATTAAGTTAATTACACCGCAGTGTAAATAAGAGGCTAAAACATTTAATTATTGGGCAATTAATAAGTGAAAGGGAAAGTTTCGTGTGATACTTACCAAGAGAGATATAAGCCGCGATGTGTTGGTTAATAATGAACTAAATTTCCCCCCATTTATCCACAGTAATTATAAGTAAGCAACATTATCCGATCTTATCTTTTCATAAAATCTTATGTAAATAACAACCCGCTGTTAAACAGTGCGACAATATTCAACTGGATATTATAAAGGGATGATTACATTTCTATTGTTTCTCGTATTAATTTCGATAATCTATTGAGGATAAATAATCATTCAATATTTTAATGGGAAAACTTGAAAATCGGGCGACGTTCTCAACAAGTGAGCGCGCGCGTCCAATGCTCATAAAATAAACACGCTCGTGTGCTCTATTCAAGGCGGATCCAACGTCTATTTCCTCCTCCATCGATTCTCAGTAACTGATGAATATTATGCACCAACGATCAGGAAATAATTTAATAAATTACTTCCCCTAAGAAAAATATGGGAAAAGCAAATAAGCGCTTTCTATTAAGCCATTGGCCATTGGGCTTTGATTCGAGGTCGTGAAAAGGATTAGTTACGGATGGGCTGTTGAAGTGTATCACTAACTCCGCTCTTAAAGGATTTGGCACGTCTGATTGGTTTGATAGAACAACTCAAAGCTGCCAGCGGCGCGTGCGCACTCGCTCCGCGGGAGACAAGTTCCCAGGCTTGGGGATTTGCGTAATTTGTTAATCCGATGAGATAATGACCTCTCGATATTGAGTATTACCGAAGTTCAAGAGGGTCATTTGTGTATGGTAAAGATAGGCATGCAAATACAATATAAAGATAATTAAATACAATATATACATGCATTTCAATGCATATAAACTGATCATATAATGATAAAAATAGACTTTAAAATAAAATACGTCATACGTGCATTTTTTAATTTTCATTTTTTTTCAGAATTAAAATATATACTTAACTCTGTTTCAAGGCAGAGTCAGTGCAAAACCATAGAAATCGGCATATATATTCACATTTAATAATAATTTCTTAAGTCTGAAAAAATTCCCCATGCCCACTCTAGAGACATCTTTCTGTCATCTCATTTTTCCAAAGAAATGAAGTAATTTTTTTTATATTGTTTGTATCATTAAACCATTAATGTAGAGAACTGGCAAATGTATAAATGTGTCACTTAGAACCCAATGAATTATTATTATTATTATTATTATTATTATTATTATTATTATTGTCTCATCAGGATATCGAACCGTACGTATTTATTTAAATTTTACGAATCCGTAGTGAAGGAAAAATAATAGACCAGGCATTTGAAAACTATATTGTCATCAACCATGTACCACAGGGCCCATCGTTCACACAACGTTCTACACCAATGACCACGCTGAACAACGAAAATTGATTCAATCCGATTTTCCTCCACGGCGTTTGGCTACATTTCAAGATCATGTTCTTTATCCCAGTTATTACGTGTCGGCGTCTGGTAACCTGACCACGCGGACTGTCACTTTCGCGTAAGAAGACCTTTCAAAATTGAGGCACATTATCAACTTGTTACAGTTCCGCTCATATCTGCTTTGACGCGGCGGTGTGTCTCCTTGTAATGTATATATGGGGCTTTGTCTGTTCATAAACAGATATGGTCACTATCTTTAAAAAGTTCATAGAGGTTATCGTTCAATAAGTTTGATATGTCGCCTGAGGATCTTGGATTTTGCTGGTGGCGGTGGGGTGAGATGGGGGGGGGGGGGGGGGGGGGGGGGGGGGGGGGGGGGGGGGGGGGGGGGGAGGGGGAGGTCATGGATAAAAATATTTGCTTTGCTTCGCTAGAAATAATTAAAGAAAAAATAGTGGACGGATGTGATTTTGTAATATGTAAAGTGCAAGGGTTGAAATCATTCTTAGTTTTATCTCATTCCACTTGTAATAAACATATTTGGGTGGGGGGATACAAAAGGTGAGAAGAAGGTACATATACCTCCGAATGTAAGGAGCACTCTGTGCCTTGTGGATCAAATTTTGAGTTGTTCGCTATCTTGTGGGTTCGTAAAACTGAATATACCGTTTAATAAAATCTACTTCATTTCACTTACACATTTTTGTGCGATCCGTGTATCTTAACATTTTACAAAACGGTTGGGCGATGAGAATTTATATCTTGTGTCTGTGATAATTGTGTTAGTAATACTACAAACGATGTTGTTAAGTGGGGATTTGTTATCTTAATATTATATCATGTTTACAGCAATCTGCACAGAAGCAAAGATACCCGCAATTTGTAAAGGTAGAAATCCATAACACCCTCATGTATGCTTAAAGATAATACCGGTAACAATCAACTTCTAAATATATCTCTTCATAAACTTATGAAGTACTTGAAATACCTTTATTATTAATTCAAACGTCTCCCTTAAGCATGACCATACTTATAACTAATCACGGCGATGCTCTCTAAGTAATAATAAAACAATAGCCCAGTTGGATTATCAATTTTATTGAGAGTCTATTTCAATGATATCGGCGATAATTATCCGAAAGGGAAATAAATCAAGTAATCTCATTTCCGATCGACTTCTGGTTTAACAGAGTCAACAACGTCGCCCGCATAAAGGACAATAGCGTTAACTGTCAACCGACTTCACCTCTTGGGTAAACAACGAAGTAAACTAATAAAAACACTTACAGCGTTCGCTGTTTGTGCATCAGTTGTCGTGGCACGCGTGCTGTTGTTCAAGCTGT